TAGGTCAACGCCAGTCAACGCGTTGCAACACAAGTCAACGTTTGACGATTCGAAACCCTAAGGGTCAACGCTGGTCAACGCGTAACCCTAGGTCAACGCCAGTCAACGCGTTGCGATCAAAAGTCAACGTACGACGGTTCGAAACCCTAGGGTCAACGCCGGTCAACGCGTAACCCTAGGTCAACGCCAGTCAACGCGTTGCGATCAAAAGTCAACGTACGGACGCTCGAAACCCTAGGATCAATGACGGTCAACGCGTAACCCTAGGTCAACGCCAGTCAACGCGTTGCGACAAAAAGTCAACGTTCGACGTTCGAAACCCTAGGGTCAACGCCAGTCAACGCGTAACCCTAGGTCAACGCCAATCAACGCGTTACGACCAAAAGTCAACAAACAGCGATCTGAAACCCTGAGTCAGCACGATGCGACGGAGATAGTCAGTTCTAAGTCAACTCAATGACACGAGCCAAGAAATCCTAAGTCAGCACAATATGATAGAGATAGTTAATTCAAAGTCAACTCAATGACACGAGCAAAACTCAACTCACTGGTGATAGACTCGAGACTCCGACGACGGCCAGGCGATAAACGCAGCGCCGGAAGAACTTCGGCTATTCGTCAAAGCATTGAATAGACCGAAAATTGAATTATCCTATAGTTGAAGCTAACCACAGGCCCTTTACACCGAATGAAGACTGGACCAATCACATCCAAAGTATTCCAGCCTCTTCTATAAAAGAAACGAGTCTGGAACGCTTTGGAGGGGATATCTGTAGGCATCGAAAATTGCCTATAGGTCTCCACGAACAGCTCAGTGTTAAGGAACGACGATGAACGCCACTATCCGGTTCACAAGAGTTCGATTGACGTCGGTGAACGCTTGAAGTGAATCGACGAACTACGTGAGCTGACAGAATTTCGGAATAACGAAGGTACGGGCTAATCAGGAGCCCCGTGATGTTTACAAAAGGAACAAGACCCTTCGTGTCTCATTCATTCTACAGATAATCCAACCATCGGAGCTGATAGAACTCCTTGTCGGTTTTCCAACGTACTTCGAATCACTCAAATCCGAGTTCGGACGAAGGAATTATGACGGAAACAGACAAATACACCAAATGGAGTGTCTCGGACCAACGAGACACCCTAAGGTGTCTCGGCTAAGGCCGAGACACCCCTGGGTGTCTCGGATCGGATCAAGTGGAGACACCCTGGGGTGTCTCCAATGCAGATTTGGGCTTTTAGGTGGTTTTAACCGCTCCGTTATCCCCTCAAGCCTATAAATACAAGCCTTAGGCCTCATTTTTTCAGATCTGGAATTTTGGAGAATTGGCGAAGCCCTGCCGGACTGAAGAGTGATCGAGTTCTTCAATTCAAGAGATCGAGAGTCGTCAGATCTACATCACCCGTATCCAATCCTTAGTATTATCCCGTTATGGTAATTCTAAAAAGAGCAATTATCTCGCTTTTGTCGAGATACGCGCTTCTATTTCTAGATCTCCTCACGGATCGACGAAGCTCTGGACCTGATCTGATTGCTAGGTAGTCCACGGATATCAACATCCCCGTCACAGGCTAAAGACCCACGCAAGCAAGAGACGACGAACGGATATTGTGTTATATTCGAGAAAGTTGTAATTTTTCTTCTTTTCTTTTGATTAAGATCTGAATTCTTTGTAAACACTAATATTATAACGAGTTCAGTAACGAAGGCAACTTTTACAGAAAACACCTTATATATACCCCTTTTCCATAACTATTTCTAACAATCAAGAGAGTTTTTAAATAAGTTTAAATGGTGTTTAAAGTTTGTTTAAGTTTGTTTTACAAAAGTTTATGTGAAGAGGTTTTCACAAGAGGAAGAAGAGATTATCATTTTGTGTTTGAGCTTCCATCTCATCTCTTTCACTTTTGTTATCATTGGAGAAGTTTTCTAAACTCAATCTCTAGTTATTTATATGTTTGATTATCATTTCCATAAGCTAGACTTTAATTAAGTTTATATTTGATTTTACGTACTCTTTCATTACACACACAACCTATTGAGCTTTTAGTATTTCATACATTGTATTATTTGGGTTGTGGTGAGTGTTACTTAGAGTGTGAGCTGACATTGAGTTCTCATCAATTGTAAAGAACAAACAATTTGTATTTGTGCCTCATTGTAAGATCACTTTGTAATACACTTGTACATCGAGAGGAGTGTGTGGTGAGAGACGGGGTCAATTCCAAGAGGAGTGGCGTCGGTAGTAAAGCCTAGGGATAGATTGTAAATCCGAGCACTTGAGAAATGCGACACGGGCTAGGCCAACACTTAAAGGGTGTATAGTGTGATTGCAAGAGTGTGAATTGTGAAAATTTTTGGTGAGCTAGAAAACCGAGATTGTGAGGTGTAAACGTTTTCGGTCAGCGTTGAAAACCGGTTGAGATAGTGGAGTTCTCCTCGAGAGTGGGGAGCAGAGATGTAGGTCGGAAGGACTGAACTCCGTGATCATTTTCTTGTGTTTGCATTGGTTATTTCCCGGCTATCTTGTTACATTGTTTCATGTATATTTCACCCTTGTGTTAATTACATATCGTTGCATATATATAATTTGTTAAATATCATACTTGCTAGGATATAATTGTTTATAAGTTTTAAATCGACATTAATATCGAATTAGATTAGCATATACCATATTCACCCCCCCCCCCCCCCCCCCCCCCTAATTTCAGGGTATTCACTTTTATAAATAGTATAGATAATGTGGATTCATGTTAGGCTCTACTTATTACCCAATAGCTGAATCCAGTAACAAAACTACATCTTTCTACCTACTTAGTAAACTTTAAAAAGGGCTTGAACAAAATTATGATCTCTAATACGTGATCTTAGATACATGTACACACTAAATTCATGAAGACCAAGTGACTAAGCTAAATTGGCTATTAATTAGGACATAATATCCTTTGTTAATTAAATAGATATCATACATGTAAGTATTTTGTCTACCGTTGAATTCGACGGTGGCATAAGAATAAATTTGCTTTCCAATGAGGAGATTGCGGACTTCAAAGTCTGTGAATGTTTGATCTAATTTTCTACCGTATTTAATTTGTCACTTTCTTGACTCGTTCTTTCATTCTCGGTCTCTCATTTCTTGGGTGACTAGGTCAAGAGACTCCGTATCCTCTCTACTTGCTTAAATATCAAGAAACTACACTAACAAAAACATGCGAGTAGGATGGAAATCTCGGTTAGAAATCAACAGCGATCCCAAGTCAACCAAAAGTTGTGTAGTTGTGTATAAATGTTTATCGATTTGGTATTTGAGTCAAATCCAGCTAATAAATAGGCAGATAAGAGCTAGATTTTTAGTTCTCTTCGATGTTTCCTATTCTATGTGGATACTGAATATTTCTTACATCAATAAACTCAGGCTCTGGTCTTATTCTAATAAAGAGAGAAAAAAGGGGGAAAAAAGATAAGAGAGATTTATCCCATTGCCAACTATACGTGCAGGCAATAATATTATGCGGCATGCTCTTATAAGCGTCTAACCATTATATTTTAACATGCTTCCTTTAAAAAACCCAAACTCAAGTAGTGGCAGTGTCAATTTTTAGAAAATTCATTTTTAAATTCATGGCTGGTGGGATCTTAATTTGGGTTGCTATGATACTATCTTAATTCACTAAACGTTTGGCCAAAATTCTAAAGTTACGATGACGATTGCGGCGTTACATTTTTCTATTCAAACAGCATTACATACATCATCACCAGCTACACGCTCTTATCTTATAAATTTTGCATAATTAAATAGACGGGAGCCAAAACCAGGTCTGAATAGAATCAAGAATGTGATCGTTTTCCAAAATTTGAGGCCGGCCGAATCAAAAGATTCTAAATTTAATCATTTAGAAACTTAAACTAACAAGCCCAGATCAGCTACTGGCTGCAAACAGCAAACGGCCAATAAGGCGAAGACTAAGCCCTCTTGCCTCTTAAAGACCTACAGATTGACTCGTAGTCAAAGATTCAAGGCTGCTCTGTGTAGAAAACCAGACAGCGGATTGGACAATTGACCGAGGAATTAAATCTAGACAATAATAGTTGACTTGGACTCATCCACACAAAATAAGTAAATAACCATAATTAAAAGAGCTCGTTGGAGAAATATTGTATAGAGAATTTAGAGATGTCGGCAAGTGAAGGCAATCTCCATCTCCTCTTGCTTCTTCTCTCTTTGAGCTTTTGGTCTCCAAAAGTTAGAGCTGCGGATAAATCATTGGATGTCGGTGTGATTTTGGATACGAGCTCATGGATTGGGAACATAAGCTGGAGTTGCATACCCATGGCCTTGGAGGATTTCTATGTTGCAAATCCCAATTACACCACAAGGCTCAATCTTCATCTCAGGGATTCTGGAAACACTGCATTTGGAGCTGCAGTTGCAGGTATTTGTTCATTTATTGTCAAGTTGGAATATAGTAATTCTGTCTTGTTCAAGATAAAATAATAAAACTTAAGAATTAAACATAGTTACACTAAACAAAAAAAAAAAAAAAAACCCTGAACGTATCAGTATTTTGATACTAGTCCCTCAAGTCTTCATGTTTTCCGATTTCCCCCCTAAATTATATTAATATGCTGATATTAGTCCCTCTGTTGGTTTTAGTGTTCAAAACCCTAAACCATGGTTAGGTTAGACTAATCATAGCTGGTTAATTACCTAAAAACACCCATTTAATTTCCCCACCCAACAAAAATTCCCTACTTTCTCTCCCAATTCCCACTTCTTCTGCAGAAAAGCATTTTAAGAAATCGGACCATTGTTAATAGATCATCGGAGAAGGAGAGAGGTGAAACGGGTTCAGGTTTGGGGCTCTTATCTAGTTTGAGTTTAAAGGATATCTGGGTCTAGGTATTAGGACTTAGGGTTATAACTATCAATTAAAGAAGAAAATTAAACATAAGGGAATATTCCTCGGTATTTAGAACCTTAACAAACCAGAGGGACTAATATTAGCATAACAATGCAGTTTGGCGGACTAAATATCTTTGGAACAAATTTTCAAAATAAACCCATTTTATTTTTTTATTAAAAAATTCGACCCATTCTCATTTTATTTATCAAAATCGACCCATTTCGTGGCCACGTTAGCAGCGTGGCCACGAAATGGGTCGATTTTTTTTAATGACGCTACTAAATAATCGGGGTTGCCAACCCCGACTATTTAGCTATGTGCCAGCTAAAATAGTCGGGGTTTTCAACCCCGACTAATTTAGGATCTTGTTTAATTGGTCGGGGTTGGCAAACCCGACCAATTCGTAAGCCCATTTCGAAATGGTCGGGGTTCCTAAACCCGACCATATGGCAAAGACCTCTGGCCCAGTTGCCGAGTGGTGAAAACGGCTAAGGACAATAGTCAGGGTTCACAACCCTGACTATTTGTTAACTGGGTCCGCCCCTATATAAAGGCCACGACTTCTTTCTCCCCACTCCTGTTCGGTTCCAGCCGCGTCTCTCTCTCATTTTCGTCGCTCTCCTCCTCATAAACTCTCATTGAGCCACGAATATCTGATTTCAACGTTAAGTTTTGTACGGAATTTCAGTGTGAAAGATCTAACAGGTACTTTCTCTTCATTCTTTTCTCATTTGAAACGTAGAAATCTAGGGTTTTCTCTCCAAAACGAATTTATAGTGTTTGAACTCTATTTGTAGTGGTTTATTTAGAAAATTTATTCTTTTTGTAGTTAAAATTTGACATTTGGGGCATAAAATACTCAATTTTAGGGTTTAGGATTTTGGGGTCAATTTTAGGGTTTAGGATTTGGGGGTTTACTATTGTAATTGGATCTTAGGGTTGTAATTGGGGTTTATTGTAATTAGGGTTTAGGGTTGTAATTGATAATATTTTTTTAATTTTTTGCCAGATGAAGCTTATGTTAATAATGAATATGTTTAGTACGAAGAACCACCCCCCAACGAGTTTGAGGATGATGAGTGGGTTCGTTCTTCCACAATACATGATATGCGTATTAGCGAAAGTTCATCCAATAGAGGAGATGATGAGGTAGTCCCTTTCAGAGTTGGTGAATTATTTGAGACTAAAGACCAATTGGTTGATGCTATTCGTGATTACTCAATCAAAAAGTTGGTCAAATTCAAGCAAATTAAAAGCAATCGTACAAGTTATGAGCCAATCTGTTTTATGAATACACAAAGGCAAGGTCGAGCAGAGGGGAATGAATCTAATTACGCATGTCCTTGGAAGTTATATGAATTTGCCGAAAAGAAACATAATGGGTATTTTAGGATCACAAAATACTACGGTGTTCACATATGTAACAATCCAATGTTCGAGAGAGACCACAGTGGTGCCTCCGCCTCTTACATAGCTCGGTTGATTATGCCAATATTAAAGAAGAAGCTTGAACTAAAGCCCGATGACAAAATTGAGAGAGTGTCACATGATAAATGGATTGAAATATCGTATATCAAAGCGTGGAATGCAAGAAGAATTGCGATGACAAAAATATTTGGTGATTGGGAGAAGTCTTACGCGACTCTACCTCAATATCTTGATGCGATCAAAAAAATCAATGCTGGATCTGAATATAAACTCATAACCAAAGAGGTCAATCCGGGAGTTCATAAATTCACCTCTGTATTTTGGGTATTTAGTCCTTCGATCGAGGGATTTAAATTTTGTCGGTCGATCCTTCGCATTGATAGGACACACTTATACGGTAAATATAAGGGTGTATTGCTTGTCGCTACAGGAGTAGATGCAGATGGGGGCTTATTTCCTTTGGCATTCGTAGTTGTAAAGGTCGAGAACAGTGAAAATTGGGAGTGATTTTTTTCTTGCATCCAATTATATATTTTTAATGTGTTATCTCCTAGGAAAATTATTTTTATATCCTACAGGATGAAAGGTATTCCAAGAGCATTGTACAGAAGATTTGGCTCTCATCACAATCACCGCTATTGCTTACAACACATTAGAGTTAATTTTAAAAAGAGCTTTGGTCAAGTACATTTATAAAACCTTCTTTGGCAAGCAGGTGTTACACCCGAAACGTGTGTGTATGATCGGATACGGGATCAAATCAAGACAACATATCCAGCTGCACATGATTGGATTGAGAATAGTTTGGGAAGCGATTACGTCGACCGGTGGGCACTAAGTAAAGATGGAGGGAATCGCTATTGCATGATGACAACTAATTGTTCTGAAAGCTTCAATGGTGTACTTAAGGGGGCTCGAGCAATGCCCTTGTTCTGAAAGCTTCAATGGTGTACTTAAGGGGGCTCGAGCAATGCCCATACAGGCGTTGGTTGCGAGAACATTTTATAGACTAGATAAGTATTTTGTCAAGTGGCGAGAGGATGGAGCAAAGTGGGGGACGTTGTTCACTCCAAAAAATGAAGAGATTATAGGAGCTCGTGTCAAGCAGGCCAGATTGACTAAGATTGTGAGATTTGCTATAAATGAATGGGAGGTTACAGACAATCACGATCATAATTACACCGTCAATCTACGAGGGACACAATGCGCATGCACATGTAACATACCAGAATTACAAAAATTGCCATGTTCACATGTTATAGCGGTTACGACCAAGCAATTTGGGGGTGCAAATACATCGTATTACACATTCGCTTCTGAGTGGTATCAATCAAGCCACTATAGAGATTCATACACGAAACGATCATTTTGTGCACGTACAAGAAATGATCACGGTTCCCAAACCCGACCATTTTGTGGTAGGAAAATTTACCTCAGCTACCTTTCTGCCATATGGTCGGGGTTGCCAACCCCGACCAATTAGACAGGGTCCTAAATTAGTCGGGTTTGGCAACCCCAATAATTTTAGCTTGTATATAGCTAAATAGTCGGGGTTGGCAACCCCGACTATTTAGCGGCGTCATTAAAAAAAATCGACCCATTTCGTGGCCACGCTGCTGACGTGGTCACGAAATGGGTTGATTTTGATAAATAAAATGAGAATGAGTCGAATTTTTTAATAAAAAAATAAAATGGGTTTATTTTGAAAATTTGTTCAAATATCAAAACATGAAGATTTGGAGGACTAGTAAAAATACTGATGAACGAAAAAAAAAACATTGATTTACGAACTATAATGACAATTAAAATGAAAAAAATAACTCTTGCTAGTTTAATTGGTTTGTCCAACCATTGAAGCCCTCAAAAGGTAAACCATCGGATTATAGAAGCCCTCAGCTTTGTGGCTTAGGGGCTGTTTGGATAGGTTTTTTTGGGTGGTAAAAGAGGAGAAAGCTGTCAAAAATGTCAGCTTTTTGGCAGCTTTCCCCCAAAATCACCTTTTTAAGGGGTGATTTTGGGGGAAAGCTGCCAAAAAGCTG